GTCAATTCATGTGGCTGCCATTTTCCTTCTTTCTGAATCTTTCCCATAGCTTGTAAACGTCGAAAAATAGTTGATTTATCGACTTTCAGTTGTTGAGACAATTCTTTGAGTGTTTGAGTTGGATTTTCTTCCAATAGAGCTTGCAATTGTTCATCTTCGAATTTTTTGACCTGTTCGTTGTTTGTCGTGAACGTCACAATCACCACTTTTGAATCGTCGAAACCAGTCTCTACATACTGTTTCCGATGGAGCAGATTCACCATAAATTTCCGCAAGCAATCGATGAGTTTCAGCTGCACTTTTTTTCAAATCAAAATAGTGTAAAAGTACACATCGGAAAAACAACTTATCACGTTCCATTTTAATTCAGTTATAGAAAAGCACATATGTAAACAAGGATGACGTCTGTTGACTGAATTTTAGTAGGAAATGTTCACATTTAAAAATGATATAAGTAGCAGATGTCTCTGACCATAGCATACGCAGTTACTGCCATCTAAACGTGAACAATGGCTTTTAATGCAAACCCCTAATAGAAATAATTTCTAGAAGAATGCTAGAATCGTTCTTACAATACACAATGCTATGACGCAATTCCTTTTTCGAAAAGGAAAGAAATTTTTCGAAAGTTGAATAACGGAATTATTTCAAACATGTTCGAACTTGTAATATCCGAATGTTAGATAAAAGAAAATTGTAAACTATTAAACTAACGAACAATGAATTATAAATCTTTGAAATGAAACCATTTATTTGAAAAAGAATTTATTAAAATATTCTTTAAAGTAACAAATATAGAAATATTTTAAATAATAAAATTTACAAAGCAAAGATTTCTTTTAAGGTTGAATAACAAAGTTATTTTATGTTCGGATATATTGTAATATTTGACTTGTAATATTTGAGTGTTGTAAAAAAATTTTAAGTTTAATTAAACTGACAAGTAACGAGTTATAAATCTTTAATACCAAAAAATATATTTAAAAAGAAGAAATTTATTGAAACATTCGTCATCGCTGTCGCCATGGCTATCACTGAGGAGGAGGAAGAGGAGGAGGGGAGAAGAGGAGGAGGAGAACAGTAATAATATTTTATTATATATTTTCTTTAAAATATCTTAACCTTCTTTATCCGCGTTACGAAATACCGCGACGCATTTTGGGTGCGGGACGGCGATGACCGCGGAGTCCGCAGCAGCGGCGGTGATGGCGATTAGCTATGCATTTTTGAGGAGGGTGATGAGGGCAGTCCGCTAAGACCCCCAAAGAAACACATACCATCACGACCATTGGCGACGCGTATCAATGGTTTATATAAACAGCGATATTATCGATCTTCCTCGCGTTGTCCCCTCTCCGCAACCCCTTCTAGCCCCATGGGTTAGAATCCGCTTATTATTCCTACTATCGATCTTGGCTTAAAATATTTTTAAAAGTTCAAACTTTTAAAAAACGCAAAAAAAATTTCAGTTTTTTTCAATGTTTTAGGGTGATCAGACCTCTTAAGCTACCAGTACTACGTTTTTTCTTTTTTCGAAACGACACTGGATACAAAACTTTTATTGGGGATACAAATTAGTATACCTGTATACATAATGTGTACATAATGAGTACTAAGAAATTAAATAGGTCCGGTTTGATTCTGCTCATTTAGTCCTGTCTATTTAAAAGAGGTTAAAATAAGCTTAATAAATATTTTAAAATATTTAATAACGAACAAAAGTAAATTTCTCGGATTATTACAAAAACCACGAAAAATATTTTTAAAAAAATTATTAATTATACTTAATATAAAAATCAATTTTTGCGCTATTATTGCTCTCAATCGCCCGGAAATTTCTGAGTAATGATTATGTTATCTAGAAAGCAGCTCAATTAGTTTATTAATTTAGTTAGTGTTATAATTTCATTATTCAGTATAAACATACATATTACATTTCAGAGATGCCAACTTGCAAACCTTCTGGCATCTCTGAAATAAAAACCTATAAAAACCTCAAAAATATCATATTATATACTTCATTCTAAATATGTTTCATGTTTCATATATTGCAAATTTTGTTAATATACATGTAGTAATAAAATAAAAAGAAGGAATTCCATTTTTTATTTCATTTTAATTAATTAATTTAATCTTGTCTTAATCTTTATCTTCAAATATTATATGCAATTATATTTTTTGCTTATTTAACAAATATATTTATTTTTATTGCAACTGCAGCAAATTTTGATTGTTAGATTAACAAATATAAACCGACAAATTTTATTTGTTGCACCTGCAAATAATTTTGCGATCCCTACATTCACAAATAGAATTTGACGTTACAGCAAAGGATTAGCGATTATAGCAAACTTTTTCTCTGAGGATTCCAAATATATTACTTCTGAAAATAAACAAAATGCCAACAATTAGTTACATCAGAATTAAAAATTATAAAACTTTATGTATAGTGTTAAATGTATTTGAACATTCTGATAACATATTTTAATTATGAATTAAGTTTAATATAAGATCATAAAGAGGTACATAATAGACAATTGCATTTTAATTAATTGTATTTATACATACATTATAATAGTGAATTTTTTAAGTTTCCATGCCGGTTTTATTTCTAATCCAATGTCGAAGTAATATTGCATCTGTATATACACCAGGCGAATTCTTTTCAGCACAACCGTCTCCCCACGAAGTTATGCCGAGGAGGATATTGTTAGTATTCACTATTGGCCCTCCAGAATCACCCTATATTATATGAATAATGATATATAGGAAAGAGAAACTTGAGAGAGGCCATCCCGGTGTATTTCTCATGGAATTGCCGAAATACATACACTAGAGAGCGTACAGTACATCTATTTTTGATTTGGGAATTAACCGTACTGGTGATAAAATCGAGATATTTTCGTATGATTCTTATCTTGTTAGTGCCATTATATGAAGCGCGGAAATGCGGAAGACAAAATTAACTAAACTTTACTAGATTTTCGCGTTTTCGCGTTCTATTCCATTTGTTTTGATCTCCTACTTTACATGCAGTACAATTTGAGCGGAAAAGCGGAACGGGAAATTAGAAATTATTAATTTGTAACGGTATTTATTGATAAAAATGCTTGTATTCAATACATAAGCTGAAAAGATAAGCATATTGGTAAAAATTGCAATGAATTAAATGAATACAATTTTTTAAAATAAATACAAAAGTGTATTTTTCATTATATCATTCCGCTTTTCCGCGGAAATTATGCTCCATGTAATATTAAAAGATCAAAACAGGCGGAACAGAATGCACGGAAACGGGGAAATCTAATAAAGTTTAGTTAATTTTGTCTTCCGCGTTTCCGCATTTCTGCGCTTCATGCAATGGCATCCTCAGATCGTTCGCCATCTTTGAGATTTGTTATTCTGTGCTCGGTCCTCTTTCTGATGCTCTTGCTACCTAGTTGCGAGATATGATACCAGTTGACTTATCGCACAGAAGAAAAGATTTTCGCTCTCCGAACTAACCATGATTGGTTAAAACTATGTTTGCAGCCGTACTATAAATTTATGAACTACAGTGAAATGGTTCGTTACTGCCACTGATACATAAATAAACTAGCTTATGTGTATTTATCTGTTAGAATCACATCGTATAACAATATAAAAATATTAATTATCAGAACAAAAAATAATAGTTATTGGAACTAACCGATATGTCAGAGCCATACAATTCGATTTGTTAAGGTGCGCATAATTGACAAATAACGCTGTGCATGCATAGCAGTAAGTGAAACAAAGGAGAAACAAACGTTTTGCTGAACATGAACGCAGCCATTGTTTCACGATTTTCGGTTTCGCCTTGTCTCATAAGAAGCATATTTTTTGCAAGTCTCATCAGATAGTGCAATGTTATTTGTGTTTTTTTGGCCGTATTCTTAACTCTTGACCGTATTCTTACTCTCGGACACAATTGTGAATACAACCGACATTTCTAGAAAAAATAGTATTGTACAAAATACTGATATTATAGATGCTTATTCGTAACGTAACCTATTATTCGTAACCTATAACGTAACTTACTAGATGGGGTGAAAAGTAACCTCCTTGACCGCCAGAATGCGCCACTACTGCAAAAAAGTTTATGGTGCCTTGTAGTCCGTTCATATTTAGGCAGACATGCCAAGTGGCAGTGCGATACTGCCCTTAGTTTTGTTTTGAGAGCTGATTGTTGTTGACGTGTTTGCGAAAACGATTTTCGTTCTCTCATAAAACATTATTTTTTGAGAGGCAAAACGGCGAAGGAAACAAAAGAAAAGTTGGATAAATATTATGTGGCTAATACTCCGTCAGATTACACCGTCAAATATTGGTTTCGAGAGTTTCGTGGTGGCCGCAACTCCACTACCGATGAAGTCCGCAGCGGCAGGCCCTCCGATGCGGTTACCGAGGAAAATATCAAAAAAATACATGAAATGGTGTTGGCTGACCGGAAAGTGAAGGTGCGCGAGCTAGCAGATGCTACAAAGATTAGTACTGAGCGAACACGCCATATTTTGGGCGAGATTCTGCATAAGAAAAAAATTTTTTTCATTCCCAAGGAGGTTACTTTTCACCCCACCTAGTATAAGTAAATGCATGTTCATAACCAGTGTGTTATTCGTATTTTATTGATTCCACATTATGGCTATGGTAAAATATCTGCTGACTACTTAGAGATTTAGTGAGGAAGTAATACATTTTATAGGTATGTTAAAAATAATTTATGTATATATGTAGATATAAGGACTACTATTGAATCCATATATATTGCATATATTTCAATATAATTATATTTCGACATAATTTTTCGCAATACAACAATCCATATGGGGAAGAACTTTTATATATATTCGATATATATTTTGTCAGCCATATCAGAAAAAAATATAATATGAAATAATTTTACGTGTTTTGCTGATTAACGATTTTATTGTATTATTATATGATTTTAGAGTGTTTTCCAGCAAGAACTCAGTTAATGTGTAGCATAATGATTCATTTCGTCCTTGTTTAACATTGACAAACAACAAGTAAATGATTCATTGTATTACACTGTGTTCTTGTTGGAAAATGCTCTTACTGTATTTCGAACATCCTGTGTATACCCAATGAGAAATGACAATGGAATCGACATCGAATCGATGTCGATTCAACATCGAAATCATCAAATCGTTGATTCGACGTTGATTCGACATCAATTCCAATGTCATTTCTCATTGGGATAAATACTTGATGATGAAAATTAAGAGAACTAGAAAAAAATACGAATATAGTATAATATAATTCTTATTTGTAACTAAAGAAATAGAAGTCAATTAATTTTCTAATTTAACAGAAGATCTTAAAATTTTAATACCTAACATTACCCAATGAAAATTCCAAAATAATTTAAACAAATATTTAAATGAGGTATTTATAATCTTTTGATACAATATTTTTTCGTATTTATTTTATTGTTCACTATATATTTTGTTATTCTATAACTTTTTCTTCAGATCATCTTGTAATTGTTCTTGATATTTATTTCAGAATGCACAACAATTCATTGATATTGATTTAAGTAATAGCCACAAGTCACACAAGTCACACAGCAAGAAGAATTAGATATTACAAACATACCGAAAAGACAAAAAGTAGATGTAGAGGTTTAACAGTCAGCAGGAACATTGTTTGCAATATAACGAAGTCAAATTTTTAGAAAATATTTCTTCAAATTCACATTCTCTACATTATCTACATCTGCAAGTACAGAATTTAATGATAAAAATATTATTAATCTTTATATATTTATAACAATTGACAAATTTAAATGTTTTCAAAAAATATTTTAAGTGTTATATAATTTTTTATAGACAATCGCAGATATTGAAACAAGATTGGAAGAACGGCAAAATTACAATCATTTTGTCAGCCCTCATAACCTATTGCAGTGATAATAAATACTTGTTTCGATGAAGTGAAACAGTGTTTTATTGTCATTAATACATTCAGATTGAAGAGGAAACACTACTAAAGACCGTGGACCTTGTCTTCAAATCATGTAACGCTCTAAACATATCGATATCCCTTAAAAGTAGGACAACTTTTTATATTTCTACAAAGAGTTATATATGAATTTAAAACTTTATGGAATAAATAAAAAAATTCGCAGCTCACTTCTTCTATTTTGGTGATAATTCAAGAATATAAGTCATTCAAATCTTAGTCACTATTTTGAAATATATACTTGCATCATGACTACTTGCTTCTTGTATAAAGAAACTGTATACTCTGTAAACAATCTATTTACGCATTTCACGATTAAACATTATGTACTTAAATTCATTTTGGTTCCAAATTATAGTCCCCAGTATACAAAATAAACCATCTTCTATTGCACTTATTTGCAACAAAGAGCAAGTTAAAAATATCAACCTCAGAAATGTTAACTTTTTGTAAATTATTTGGAGTAATTATTGGACATTATATTAAATTATATGACCCATTCTAGAAATTATACTTATTGTTAAAAGAGATAATTGAATTTATCTTCTCTATCACAGGATCTGCTTCTGCCTTCAAAGTATTAATAGAAGAGCATCGATCATATTCAACATATGACCATATAGCACAGAACGTTGAAAGAATATTGCTGAGATGTTGCAATGTTGAATGTTGAAGTGTCAATGTTTTATCAATGTTGTATCTATATTAATTCTTCTACATTGTTAATATTGCTGCAATGTTAAAATGATATTGAATAAATTGAACTATAAATTGAATTTTTATTGATTTTTCCACATTGATTGTTAATGTTACTGCAATGTTGAAATGACATTGAATAAATTATACTATATTGAAACCTATTTTGTAAAAAATGAACAAAAATAAAATGTCATGTAAATAGAAAATTTAAATCACTTAAATTGATCTCTTAACGAAATTCATTTGTAAACGATGTTTACGCGAAACTCGGTTGCGCGTGCAGAATGCTTGCATGTATGGTATTGTGTGTGTTGATTGATCCGATGTCAATTCGTGGTCTTTCTACATATCTATATGTCACAATTATACATTCACTAACATTCAGTGTTCGTGGATCATCGAAATTGACGTCACCATACGATAGCATAGGTTAAGCATCGTTGGATGGTGTACAAGATTGGATGGATGACCGCTTAAGAAAATAAGGAAATTAATTCTCAGATGAGGGGAAAGCGTTTTTTTTCAATTATAATTTTATCGTGTGTTTTCTGGAATACGATGTTAATCAATAATACTTATTTTAATAATAAAATTGAATTAATTAATATGGGAAACATTTTTTATGTCTGTTTAATGACAGATATTGCAATTCAACGGACATTAGACGTTACTGCAATGTCTCTTCAACATTGAATCTACTTGTATATTTCGCGATGTTACTGCAACGTTCGCAATGTTGCAAATCAACATTTCTGAGATATTGATTCAATATTAGTGTGCTGTATGAAATGCACAAGATTTCAAATCAAAACATCATAATCTCACTCACTGTGCAAGAGTCATGATGCAATGTTTTCTTATCTGTAATTAGGCTTGAAGGTTTTCGTTATAACCTCAAAAAAATTTCGAATGTTGTCAAGAACAAATATTGCTTTTTCAATTGCTACTTGTTATCAGTTCTTATTTTGTTATAGACTTATGGTTCAAAAAAAGTATTCTTCCAAACATTTAAATAGGATCAGGAAATAGTAGTGAGATAGAATCAGTTCTAACCTCAGATCCTCTGAGCGCAGGGCGCGGGGAATATGTACTTGTAGACGAGAAGAAGCGGAACACGGGGAGTACTCTCCCCGTACTAAGCGAAGAGCCTAAAATAATTATAATAAATTATATAAAATAAATCTTACCTCCTCCTCATCTTCCTCCTCCTTAGCCTTCTCCTCCTCCTTCTCAGCCTCCTCTTTCTCCTTCTCCTCTGCCTCCGCGAGGATGTAAAGAAATTCCACCTCGTCCTGCAAGTGGAGGAACTCCATCATGAATTCGACGAATTTATCTACATCATTGTTGAAATGTACGGGCTGATCGATGCCCATGTACACGACATCTTCTTTTTCCTCCTCCTCGTCCCCTCATCGATGATGATGACAGGGCCCTCGTCCTCCTCCTCGCTGATGTCCTCTTCCATATAACGTCCTCTTCGACATCCTCCTCCTCCTCCTCAATCAATTTTATTTTTTTTACATGAAGGCTTGTGGTTTTCCATGTCTTTTTTTTCTTAGTAACACACAAATTAATCACGTAAGCTGCTAGATGGCAGAATATTTTTGCAGTTTTTATAAATTTAAAAAATCACTCGTAATATACTACAATATACTGCTCTTCATATAAGTATTAAGAGACACGACAGTGGCTCGGCGCAAAGCTACGCGCAACGAAACTACTGTAGCTACTTTTCACGCGAGATCGCGAGTTGCAAGGGATTGAGATTATTAGATCTCAATAACGAACCGATTAGATTCTACGTACGTTCAATCGATAGCGTCCACTCAAATTGTGTTATAATAGTATTGAGCATGCAGACAAGACTCGGCAAATACTGACACCGAGAAGCATCCTTTGCCATAACAATGCTGCCTAGGATACATTTTACATTTGCACAGGAAACACTTAAGGAAGAAATGAAACATTTGAGATCATAAATAAATGTTTGTAGCCTATAGAATTATAGAACTCTAGACACTACAAAAATGTGTAAAAAATGTGTAATAATGGCTCGCATGCTAGAAAAAGATAGAGCGCGATGATACAGTACAAGTACAACATCCTTTTTTTTCTCTCTTTTTTTATGACAGTTTTCATAATACGTTTTTTTCTTTTCTTTTCTTTTTTTACTAGCACGTCGGGGCAAAGGATATAACGGATGGATAGTAAAACAAAGTAGATATATAATATATACATAGTAATGCGAACAAATTTTTTTTATTTATAATACATATTATTACATTGATTTTTCGTACGTATTAAAAAACTAAAGTTAATAGTTCGCAATTGACGAGCTGATGTCCATTGAAGATGTCGCTATCGCGTATAGCGTTCTTGGAACGTTCTTGGAGAATCACTTATATTTGACATCGACTGTATCGACGAGTAAAACTAATTATTCGAACGTTACATCGATACACCCGTCAAACTCGAACATATGGCGTCGATCATCATCATGCGTACGGATGAAAAATCAAGACGTATGAGCGTAGCATTGTTCAGCGTGCAAACTATGACCGTTAATGGTCCAATACTTATGAAATTGTCCTTGTATTCATTTCGAAGCATCTTGTAAATATATTCCATCGCTGCTCGTAGAGGCCCTTCGACGTTTCGAGAGACAGCGACAGTTCGTGTCCGCGATGATCTCCCAGAGCAATCTCCATATATTAGAACTAACGTTGATTCCAATTTCCAAAAATTTGTAGCCCGTATTCGTCAAGTCGTAACGTCTGTTCAGTAAGCGCACCGCGCGCACGCTCCATGCTGTATATGTACATAATGTTGAAAAAAAATGTTATTTATTGTATAGAACGTTGAAAATTACACGTTATATTCCTTCTTCATGTCGATGCATTGTTCTCTTTGGCGAAGTACGTTTTATTTTTCAATCGTTCGTACAAGCGGGTACCGCAAGACTGATCGCATCTGCGTAAATTGTAGCGTATATAGTAATATTTCTAAAATCGAAGAGCGGGCAGGCTGTTCCCCTCTTTCCAAGTTTTTTTTCGAATGTTGCGACATTTTATCGCGTCTTTCTATATTTTCCTTGTCACGAGTTTATTTATGTTTATATACATACATACGTTCATACATACTGTGACATGCCGTTTTTTTGTCCGTTACTTTGTCGCAGATAAGCCGAGTGGATCTTGGGTTTCCCCTGCTTGTAAGGGCGGGCAACAAGCGTGCGAGCGCTAACGTTTATGCGCCACCTTAAATTTCGTTTTATTTATTTTTTCTTCTGTATTTTTTGCATTATTTTTTTGCGAGAATCGTTACCAGGATCGATAGCTGTGTGCATTGATTGTGTCGAAACTGTCTCACCCTGTTGCCAGCAAGGAAGAGGATCACCGAAGAGAACTGTCGAAGAGGACCGTCATTGAGGAGGCTCTAGACTACGTTCCAATGGCAGGGGCGCGCAGATCATATCGCTCTTTTTAACTTCCTGCCTGCACCTATTATTTGCGCCCTTTTAGTGTCGCTCTTGTTTTACAGAGAAAACGGAGGATGCCGAGACGTCGGGATGAGATAGCTTCTCAAGAGAACTAGAACGTCCGAGAAAAACCACGGTGAATTTGAGTTCGAACCAAAGAAATTGCCTAAAGCAGGAAGAACTCCGTGCGAGACAAGAGAAAAGTCCGGGCGAAATTCGGATTCCGCGTCAAGTCGTGGGAAACTACATCGCTGCCACGGGTCCACGTGATTTGCGGGGTCGCGCGGCGCCGCTATCTGCCAATCAGGTTCTGGGAGACCTCGCTCTCGAAAAGCGTGCGGCCTGTGCATCCCCCGGCGAAGCCTGCCGAAATCATTTGCGTTGTGACACGAGCCTGATGCAGATTGTAAGAGAATCCATTGAGAGCGAATAAAAAACTATCGATAACTAAAGTGAGCCGGAAGATACCCGTAAGGAGCCGAGAGGAGCTATCGGAGGAACGAGAAAGAGGAATCGGTGAGACAAGCATAGAAATTCTGTAAAACCATCGACAACGTGATCTTGAGCGAATAGCACATGCCGAATTTGAGCCGAAAGGCTGATATCCGTACAGGAAGCTACCGCGAGTAATCCTTTAGCTCTCACTTGCCGTTCGCTCGAATCACATAGATTATTGCATTCAGTTAGCGTAAAGCTTGCCGCCCTCTCGCCACATCGAAGTCGCCGCGTCTCATTAGTGTGATTGTATGCTAACTCGCCATCTTGCATTGTACGTCGCCGTTTGAGTCGCGTTTCGTGTAGAGCAGAAAAGCATTGTACGATGTCTGGCGGAAATACTGCTTTATTCTGCATACGTGCTTTACGATACATGATTAGGATTAGGTATTATACATCCATGGGTAATACCTTGACAAAATCCGATACATGGTTTGGTTAAGGTTAGGTTATTATATACCTATGGATGTAATAACCTAACCCTAACTTTCTCCTAAATTACATATTTACTCAAATTTTCTACTAAAGCAGTGAACTTGTGTTTATGTAGAAAGTCGCGTGCCACTAGATAATGAGAGAGATGGAGTGCAGTAGATGGATATAATTTATAACAGTTTCTGATGTTATATAGATCCGAAAAATATTATTTTTTCAAATTTTTTTTGGTAATAACTTTTTAATGAAGAACGAGCGATGGCTAAAACTTATTGACTTGTCACTTAGGATCATGACTTTGACAACATTGTCAAGGTCAAGGTCATTGGAGCTTGGTCCCCTAATTGATACTTTTATCCATATTGTTATTATTACTTACTAATTTTTAAATTTCAATTTTAGATTTTATCAGCGCTTTAATCTCAAAAGATCTAATTTTGTCCGTATTATCACTGATTATGCATGTATTATTTTTTTTTTATGTGATTAATTCTTTATCTGTAAATGGGGAACCAATTCAAAACTTGAAATACACTATTAAATAAAAAATAAGGAACGTTTTCGCTCAAATTGTGAAATAAAATTCAAAAGACCGTAACTTGAGGAAAAATTGTCGCAGATAAAAAATCGAAAAAGCATTTGATAGTTTGAAATCTCTACTTTGAAATCGATAATTAATATTTTAATTTGATTAATCTTTTACGGAGCTATACAGATATCCATCAAATCTGAAAATTTTGTATGAGTTTTACAAAGGTCTGTAGCGTGAAGTAAATATCACACAAAAATGCAGCCTTCAGCAGTAAAAAGTGAATCCTTCAATTTGTTTTCTTATTGAACGTTGTATGACTTTTTTTCTTCGAGTTATTGAGCGTTGATAATCACTTTTGCTTTAATATTAAATAACTCGATGAAAAAAGATTGTGCAATGCTCAATAAAAAAAGCAAATTGAAGATGAAGATTTGCCCTTTCAACTGCTATAGATCGCATTTTTGTGTGATTTTTATTTTACGCCGTAGACCTTTGTGAGATTTATACAAAATTTGTAGATTTGACGGATATCTATTTGTGTCCGTATAGCTCCGTAAAGGATCAGCCTGATTGAAATATTAATTACTGATTTCTAAAATAGAAATATCAAGCTTTTTTGATTTGTTTTGTTTGCGATGATTTTTCGAGTTAAGGTGCAGACAAAAAGGTCTGAATATTATGCAATTTTGTTCAAAAGTGTTTCCTATTTTTTATTGCGTATATATTTTTTAGGTTTGTCCCTTGTTTTCTCATTTCAGATCTTCTTTCATTGAATCTTTGAGAGAAAATAAATTACAAGATCCTTTCTCAGTAGAATATTTGCTTAGTAATCTCAGTTTTAAAGTGACTAAATTTATTGTTAAGTTTTTACATAAGACTAAAATTATTTTATATCGTAAATCATAATTATGATGTTGCTGTTGAATTTTGGTCTAGAAGAAAGGGTCTCTCTTCTTTTAGATTTCTTGCAAAATATCCGCTAATATACATACTAATATACTCTTTTTCTAGAAGGATGATTAGGCCAGTTGATTGAATTTCTTTCACTTGGACTACCCTTTAAGTTTTTTTTGCATGATACTAAGACTTATTTGAGTCTGAAATCTACGGGTTATAAAAAGAAAAAGTAGAAAAAAATTAGTTATCGAAAATAAATACAAATAAATGCGAATTCATGATACACTCACAATAACAAATTAAAATCCACAAATGAGAACATAACATGGATTGGAACATTTGCACATTTAAATTTTATACTAAAATTTCAACAGTACGTAGCTACTTAAGTCGAAAATACATATATTAATAATAGTGTACGGGCAATTTCAATAGCTCCGGAAAACTGGTAGAAATCGGAAAGGGATGGCCAGTTGCTTCTCAAGTTTCTCTCTGCACATAATACATATGAATGAATATAAATAATAAACATTGGATTGCATTTATATCTTACTTGACAAGCGTCTATGCCTCCTTCTTGAAATCCATAACATGTCATTCGAGATGTCACTATATATCTGTTTACATAATCTTTTTGACATGTCCATTTATTTATTCGTGGTACTATTGCACACTGTAAAGTTTTCGCCAAAACTGGATCGATAATACCTTGGACTTTCTGCACATTTTATAAAAGCTTAAATTTTTGTATATAAGATGTCCGGTAATGACTGTATCACCTTCCGTGAGCAAGTATAGTGAACTAAACTAAATGCACTATTTTACAATTTTTGCAACAGTTATGGAAAAAATTAATTACTGAGAATCGTCAAATTCGTCCGGTTTACTGATGTACATAAAGTTAACACAATTATTTTATTAAAAAAAATTGTGCTGCGTTTTTCCCTTGTTCGCAGATCGTTTCCTAGAAATCCTCGGACCGAAATCTAGTCCTGTGAAGGATAAATTATTCGCTTACATGAGCGATCTGTTCACCACGGAATGGTCCGTGGTGAACAGATTGCTCATGTGAGCGAAGAAAGCTTAAAGGCTTTGAGATAGCCACTCCTTGGTCCGTGGAACTTCAAGTAACAAATGAGTACAGATGTTTCGTTCTACTCCTAAAAAAACTTATGGGGTGGAGAAAGGTGCCCGTGAAGGTCTGACAGTAAGTGTCATTTTCTCATTGAACAACGGAATCAAAATCGAGCGCGGACGTATGTAAATGACCCCCGTATACACACATATGTCAAACTGGATCTTAAGTGCTTAGATAATTTAATAGAGGAAAGGTGTCGTCGATATCGACATATCACTATGCTCTTAGACAATATTTCTTAAATAAAAGGTAAAAATAAAACTTTCAAAACATAAGTACAAATTAAAAAATGTCTTCTATCAGATAGTATAAGCAGTTTTTTCATTCTTCTTTGTAATTTTGCAATAATTAATTTTGTTGTAAGATAAGCAAAAATGAGCGTCTAATAAAATGGGCTGCAAAACTGATATAGTAAGCAATAATGCTACGTATTCCTATTCTTTTTAAACAATTCAAAAGATAAATATAATAGGTTAATGAGAGTCAGCAACGATAAATTATTATTAAGGCGTAATTATTTAGTGAACAATCAATAATCAGATATTGGATTGATGTCTTCTTTATTTTTAATGTTTTGACTCTCTTTGGAGTCCTCCTCAGCAAGAATGATACAAGTATAATTAGCTCACATGTCCATAATGCTTAAGTCAAATTGATAAAGATACAGTGTTATTAATCATCACGGAACATGAAGCATTGCACTGAAGATTTGTTGAACATATTAAAATTTAAAAAATAGAAATGTTAAAATCAAATATAAAGATCACACATTTTTAGAACACACATCCGTGTACGACGAAGTGTCACTCAAATATCACGTTTGAGTGTAGCAAGCGTTAATTATTATTATTATTGAGTCAATTCTTTTTTCCGCTCCCTCTTCTCCCCCTCCCTCCTTCTTCCCCTCTACCTCTCCCCCCACATTCTTTCATTCCTCCCACTTCCTACCTCTCCCCATTCCTCCTCTTCCTCTTTCTTCGTTCCTATCGCTGCCGAACACATCACTCGATATATCGAAAATAATAATCTGCAAGATCTACATCAGTTTGCGTATAAAAAAGGTCATTCCACTCAATCGGCAACATTTATTTTCCTGGATGATTAGACGTGCAGCAGAAATTTAACTGTATCAGTTTTTTTGATTTTACAAAAGCGTTTGATAATGTCGAACATCGCATTTTGATTGAGAAACTCAGAGATCTGAAATTCTCATGTTCAGCTCTGCGTTGGATATGTGATTATTTGAATGGACGGAGGCAGGCTGTCAAGGATCTAGTTACTGTGACATTTCATCTGAAATTATTATAACAAGGAGTGTTCCTCAAGTTCCTTCCTTCTGTTTTGGGCGCTCTGTTATTTATATTATATTTAAATGACTTTAGTCATTTATAATTAAATTGTAAATATTCTTATTATGCTGATGACTTGCTTATCTATATACATACAGAGCCTAAAAATTTTCGTACTATAAGCCATGTAAATGAGGATACAAATAGAATCCTGAACTGGACCACGAAAATCAATTTGACAATAAATACAAAAAAGACTACACATATGATTTTAGGTGCAAGATACATCAACAATATCTCGTACGTTGGACTTCCGTATATTATAGTTGGGGATACGCAGATTCGATACAGTGATTCTATTAAGTATCTTGGTCTAGCAATTTCTAGAACACTTTCATGGAGTTTGCAAATAATCGGAATGATGTCTAGAGTGAATATGTCTCTTTATCAACTAAAGATTTATAAATAACTTATTTCAAGATTCCTTTTCGTATTAGGCTAATATCTACTCTTATTTTTCCTATCTTCGATTATTGCTGTATGATGATATAACTGTTATGATGATATTACTGGCGAGCTAGATCTTAAACTTCAGAGGGCTTAATTCGTGTGTGAGATACGTGTTCCCGATTAAGTGGGATGAGCATGTGTCTCTCCTTATTTTAATGATCTTAGATGGCTCAAAGTAAAGGCGAGGCGGTTGTATTTCATGATACCTGATGTTTACTACACTTTCATTAGGCTTTCTCAAGGTTATATACCAAAGCTTTGAATTCAAGAAGAATATATCAACTTGTACGAGGACTCCTAATTATTTGTCATTATCGCTATATGGCACGGAATTTTTCAAGCAGTCTTTTAGCAGCTGTGCTGCTGAGTTTTGGAATAATATCCCACAGGATATTCGTAATGCTGCTTCTTTGCGCCAACAGTATAAACCATACATTGATAACAGTAAAAATAAAAGAAAGCTAAAATTAAAAATGAAATTAAAATTAACGCAAATATATTAGGTCATTTAAAAAGTATCCGCGGTTTTTTGTTCAATTTTTGAAACAAAAAACCGCGGATACTTTTTAAATGACCTAATATATTTGCGTTAATTTTAATTTCATTTTTAATTTTAGCTTTCTTTTATTTTTACTGTTATCAATGTATGGTTTATACTGTTTATTATTGTTCATAAATAATATATGGTCTTAGCGCTTGAGAGGACTTAATTCTAAAGCGCTCAATAAATGACGATATCTATCTATCTATCCCTCCCCTTCATCCTCTCTTCCCTCCTACATCTCTCCCCCGCCTCTCCCCTCCACCTTCACCTCTCCCCTTCCCTTCCCCTTCTCGTGATGTTCTATGTGCGTATCTTTTGTAAGCCTTAGCGATAAATTTTAGTTAGCGCTTGGTAAGATTAATAATCATTTATATTCACTGCGAGATCGATATCGATTACTGCTCATGTCGTTAGGTAATTACTCACGCCATCAGATAAATGCTTATATTGTAGATTTTTTAGTTTTTCGTATTCTAATCTAGTAATTCGATACCGATATCCAAGCTTTTGTAATGCACGCAATTACGTTTCTACTGTTTTGATCTGTACGTTCCAAATATTCATTTAAGTTATATTAAACCGCCTTTGTGAGTCAGAATCATTGAGTAACATTTTTTTGCGAACTTAGCGATTTCCCGTCAATCTTTCTTCGCCATTAGTTAGCCATTGCCAGATACGCTCGGTGCCACATTGGGCACAGCAGTCACAGCGTAACCACAAGAGGAATAAACGAATGCCATCTACCGTCAAAAATGTGAAAAGAATATGACTTTTTGAGGCGATGACATATATTATGTAAAAATTTTGACATTTCGCATTACAATATCTCCATTCGTGGTACACGTAGAGATAAAATAATCGCTTATTGTATAATTTGGATCCTAACTGTCGATTGAGACCATACTCAGAACTCGATCGGTTCAGCCTTTATTAAAAAATCAATAATTTCGGATGCTCGCAACTCCCTGACTCGCGTAAAGAACACGGGGTCTCGCGCTGCGCGCCCATTTGACGCGAGCCATTATTGTGTCTCTTGACAAGAAGTAGATATTAGATATTGGATACATGAACCAAACGTAAAAATTAAAAAAACATCATTCAAGTTTTAAATCGTGTTATAATTTACTTTATAACAGCTCCTAGCTGTTTATGCCTTCATTACCAAAAAGCTGCTATAAATATTTCTATGTATTGATAATATAAAAAACTTCAAAGTGTAGTAAGTATTATTGAACAAAATGTGTTTTTTTTAAATGCTTCAAAATGTTTTACATAGTACTATTAAAAAAAAGACACGTGCATATTGAAAACCTCAATTGAGCATGTTTCAAACTATTTAAAACATGATTATTTAAAATATATTTTTTATCAATCCTGCCTATTTATATATTTCAGAATTTTTAATCGATTCTTGAGAATCAATTAATTTCAATCCGATTAATCAAGTCGTAAATTCTTTTTTACAAAATTTAAATAATTATGATAATCAATTTTCTTTTAATGTCGCTTTTTAATATCACCGTGCGAACCTTTTTGGCATTCTAACGCGTTACTATCGAATCCGAGGAGCTAATTCGCGCCAAAGTTAGATTCTTAATTCACTCGCGACCGACAATAGCAAGGGGGTCGAGAGTTCTCGGCCTCCACTGAACTTTCTTAGCCGTCGGCCGCACTCGCTCTGTTTATCAAGCGTCTTTGACGCGCTTTTAGTTAGGTCCGCGATTCGCGCTCCTGCGCCGCGACGCGTGATGTATCGACTCTGAGCATTCACATCCATTGCGATCTCACACGGATGTTTCCGATTGAGACTCACCGCTATTGGTCCGCGCAAGACTTGGCGACGATTTCGCGTTCACGCCTGTTACATGTATCGAAGACTCTGTATTCTCAATGACGCAAACGTGCGTCATCATTGTAATATATTCGTTTGATATAATTGTATTGTGGTATTTAATTTCGTGTAACAAAAAACTGTATTATTGTTTCTACTTAAAACTGTGTAAAAAAATTGTATTATTGTTTTTACTTAAAACTGTGTAAAAAAATTGTATTATTGTTTCTACTTAAAACTATAATCATATGCGTTCTCTTTTATCAATTAGAACCTTCCGTTTTCGTCTCGCATTCTGGCGTGCTAATCCATGCAACAGAAGTTAGGTATTTACAAATGAATTAAATACATATGTGTGTGTTGAAGAACTATTCTCCCATTAATAAAACGTAAAGCCATTCGATGC